CTAGTTAATTACTTGTCTTTGTAGTGGATCAACGAATCATCACCACAACAGTCCTCAACTAAAACGCTTTGCTGAGTACTGGTGTGATCATACTTATGCGGTCAATAACGAAATCTTAATCCCTTTACATTCTAGTGACCTACTTTTCTCAACAGAACGCGATTGGTTCGATGAAAACAATTATTATTATAACTAATTGTACCAGTGATTGTTTTACTGTGCTTGTTTGTTTAACTGTCCTAATGACAACCATATTGGCCTTCCATTGAACCCCATTACTTCTGCGCGGTTTGTGACTCTACGCACGTACTTTCTCCTGCCCATCCCACTTGTACTCCTTTGGCACGACCTTGGTATTCTTTCGATACCACGAGATCGCCAGTAAATATATCTCGACTACAGCCATCATCTGTCTTCTGATATTGGCCTACGGGAATTTTATTGGTTTACTGGCACGTAGTCTTGTAGCGGTGTTCATAATCAAGCGCGATTCAACACCACTCTACAACATCATAAGATACGACCACTTGAGAACGCAGCCCGTTTTAAACTGAAATGTAAATTACCAATAAATAACAATAATAATTCAGGATTAGTCTGAGACCAATATTAATTACAGTCATAATAATGAAATACTTTACCAATATGATCACACCTATTCGCAATAACATTACTATCACTAACAATACTTATATTGAAACCTAGATCATCATAAAATAATCTCACATCAAATAAATTTAGTTTTATCAACCACTTTTGCATTCATATGCAGTGCAATACGTAACAAAGCAACTGTTTAAATGTCAGTTGCAGGGATAAATAAACGGTGTATTCTTATATTAAAACATCGATATAGAAAGTGATGCCAAATCGATAACCGAACATCAGAATGTACATGTATGACTAACACTAAAATCTTTATCCTAACCACAACTAAATACATATTATTATCAATACACTCACTTGCTGCAGTCACTATTTACACTCCATATGAACATCATAGATGCTTATATCAGCTAATAAACACAAGCTCAAATACTCTTACACAACTGATCCATACATGTTCATAATCTCAGTTCTTAGACATTTCAGTCAACTCTACTTAATTCGACACTCACTTTTACTTATTCTGGTTGGTGCTCGTTGAATAGCTCAACTACTCTCAGCAAAATTGATGCCTATGATTCTTACTTACACCAATACCCGTTCAAAATTCACTCAGTTAATGAAATAACACTCATTTAATCAACCCCTCCAAATGTTTAATGATTCTCGTTTCATCATGCAACTGACATTTCGTCTATTGAGCACAGAGATATCTCTGCACCATTTGTCGTAAACTCTCTTCTGCATATGGGGAATTGTTCATGGTGATTACGTCTGACCGTTATTGCTATGGAAATGATACTAATAAAGATGATCTAATTAGTTTCAGTTATAGATCAATAAAGCGGGATAACTAATTGTTTTGGTCTTTGAATCCTTTTTTATGATATTGTTAGGGTTTGAACTTGTATGATATTTTTGATGCTTTTATTTAAGCATCACTAGTATTGGACGTAATTACTGTCATATGAAAATGGTCTCACACTGACATCGTGGTTAAGTACTTTCATTGTCAATGAGTTCTGGGTTTAATAAATATATTTCTGAATTTCTTCACTTATCTATCCTATGAAATAGTTTTATTCACATTGAATAATGGTCAGAATTTAAATCAAATCAAGCGAGTAGCAACTGAAATTAAATAGTCAATAAGTTACCATATGAAAATCGTTAACTGATATCATAAGAGTATATTTCCACAATCAATAAGTATAAGTGACTAATGAATCATATTCCAAGTATTATCAAAAATCTCCCTCATTTTATTTCGCGCACGAGAAAGAGGTCCAGAATTTCGTCAGTCTTCTTCACGGTTATATCATCACCTTTCACTATCCCAATGACAATTCTGTCGACCTGTTCTTTCATTGAAAGATGACTAGGTGGAGATATTTCTGAAATAACACCACCTATACACTGTTAATTAATAGAGCTACACTAACATCGGCTGTACTTCCAGAACACTTGATATAACTACATGAAGCAGTGGCTGTTTCTGAGACAATATTGTTACACTGCTCTGTAGCTACCGTAGTGCCTACTTCTGTGACGACAACTGAATTGTCGTCCTTTTCGTCACTGCTGGTTAACTGATACTTTTTTATGAATTCATCTCTTAACTTCCGCAACCTTTTGTAATAAGTTGATCTGGGACAGCCCAGCAACCTCAAGTCTCTGGCGGCTTGAGCCCTCCTTTATTGTATCAAAATTAACAAATATTCGTTGTAATTTAATGTTTTAACGTTTAATAATCGAATGCATATGAAATGTCATTCTGGAATGATGCGCTACGTATGATTTGGGGATTTTCCCCAAAAATTTCCCCAAAGACTGAGGATTTCCCCAAAATTTCCTCAAACTTTGGAGAAGGCTGTTTCACTTTGGGGATTTCCCCAAAATTTCCCCGAAGCTGGAAGCATGGGATGTAGGTATGTTTTTTTTACGGGTCATTATACCTAACTGTTGACCTCCTTTCTAGCCAGCATATAATTTAAAGCATGAAAAATAGGTTAAATAACAAGGAATGTATTCATTTTTCATGTTTGTTAGAGTAAGATGCTTTGATTTAATCTGCTTTGGTGTAAAACGTTTGTAGTATCAGTTGCTATGTTAGGCTTGTACAGCTTATTCTAGCTTCTAGACAGGCCAATTTATTCATTCTCCTTAAGCTACATTTTGACTTTGTCAATTATCCGCTTATTATCCTTGACTATTTTTATGTAAGTGTATGTGTGTGCATTTCATAACTTACTCATCGCATGTCTGCAACTTATTTTTGTGTGACTATAAATATCGACTAACGCTCAGTTAAATCGAGTTGGCTCACACGCCTTCTCCACTGCGCATCATTTCGCCGCACTCTCTTGTCTTCTCTTCTCTGATCTTTTGTCTAGATCAATGGTTGTATGAAATATACGTAGTCAAAGTTCAATCTGTTATATGACTTATTTAATTCCGTTATTCACCAACGCGAGTTAAGTCGATGATTATAGACGAGTATAGCCAAGATGTATATTTGGACAGTAATTATTCGATAACAATTAGAAACGATCAACTTGGAGTCAGTTCTTGGGTAGCTAGAAGTTCTCATTTTGTAGAATTTAAAATTATAATTGCTGATATCGATTTCGTTTTTCAACTTAATTTTATTTAGTCCATGTAAAGCGTTGTCAACTCGATTCCAATCATAAAGAACTTAAGAGAGAAATAGACGAATCCCTTCAGTAAAAAAAATTCCAAATACTTTCACAATAAAGAAAAAAACAATAAAGTTTCCTGAATGAAGATTTTTAGGCTTGATAGTATTCAATAAGTACCAAAGTCATGATTTTGATCATAATGTAGTAATAAATGAATTTAGGTTCTTCTGTCCTACTGTGGTGTGTGTTACTTAAATCGATATAAGTAGTATTTAACGGGAGTGAGGAATAAAATGTCTAGCAGTAATTGAACATTTTGCAAATGAAATATTACAGAATGGTTTTTCTATTTTATCAAGTAACTCTGTAACTATGTGGTAAATATAATTGGTTATCTTCACCTATGTTCTACTCCATTGCACTACCATAGGTTATTCATCCTCGAAATATCTTGTTTTCAACGTTGCAAAATTGTCACAATCGTTATCTATCTTACGAGTGTTATCATGAGCGTCGGTTCTCTCTTTATTCCAGGTACCCCCTTACTGAGGAGTTTTAACTTACTTACTTACGCCTGTTAATCCTCGTGAAGGAGAATAGGCCACCCACCAACACTTTCCATCCAACTCTGTCTTGAACAATCTTTTCCAGCTCTTTTCAGTTGTTATTCATCCTTTTCATATTTGATTCTATTTTCCAATGTAATATGTTCTTTGGCCTTCCTCGTTTCTGCTTTCCTTCAGGATTTCAAGCTAAGGCTTGCCTCGTGATGCTGTTTGATGATTTGCGTAATGTATATCCTATCCATTTGCACTGTCTTTTCTTAATTTCCTCTTCAGCTGGAAGTTGGTTTGTTCTCTTCCACATTAGGCTGTTGTTGATGGTATCAGCCGAATAGATGTTGAGTATACAACTATTTATAAATACTTGTACCTTCCTGATGATGGTTGTTGTAGTTCTCCAAGTTTTAACTGTGTATAGTAGGACTGATTTGACATTGGTATTGTGACTTTGATATTGGTTGACAGATATTTATTTCAAGTTCCATATATTCTACAATTGTAGGAATACGGCTCTAGCTTTACAAATCCTCACCTTTACATCTACATTTAATCCTTCTTTTTCATCGATCATGCTTCCTAGATACGTGAAAGATTCCACATCTACCAGAGTTTCACCATCAAGTTAGTTATAACCTATTGAAACTATTATTATCAATTCTAAATATAGTTATATAATATTCAATTTAAACAAGATTTTTTTTGTTTTGTTTTGAAAATTTTATAAGAATTTAGTTAATACAAACTATTCATCCTATACATAAATGTCCATAAATCATCACTTACCATTATTTGTTTATATAGTTTTATTCAACATTATTAAATAGACTTAAATTCAATGTTCATTTTGTTCATTAAAACAATCCGATTTTCATCATCAAATCATTATCCATTTCATTCAGTTGGCATCATTCAATCGGCATCATTCAATCGACAGTAACTTGTATATATATATACTATATACACTATATATAACTCATTGAATTCAACATTGAATTCAATTATATACAATCATAACAATATGACTTTATTTAATTCATTATTATTCATTTATTCATTTATTTATATGATAAATTATTTAAGTAGTATTTATATTAATGGACAATCTATAAAATTTAATAAAATATCTGATAAAGTCAATTATGCAAATCCAGATCAAGCAGGGTAAGTTAAATGATGATTTTTTTTTTTTTTTGATAAAAATTTGTATTAGAATTGAATATGAAAAATAATAGTTTTTTCTTAAGCAAAGATGGTTTGATAGCTATCAATGGAATTCAGGATATGTGTTATATTCTATTTCAAACTCATCCATTAGATGTATTAATCTTATATAACAATAAGAAGATAGAAGTAAAACAATATCAAGTGAATTTAAAGCTTCACTCTATTATACAAGTAGATAGCTATTAAGATTCAGTAGTTAAGCAAACGGTACTGAGTTGGAATCTCACAGAGTGGACATCAACTCTGAGATATAGGTGCATCCAGTTGACGAGTCCCAAATGGAATAAAACGCGAGTCAAACTGGATTCCATTGCTAGCCACTATTGATCATTGTTTTTAAGGCTTATGACTTTAGGCAATATCGAGATAATTCGCACAGGATGCATATATGCCCATAAAAGACTGATCAATTTCAGAACAACACATATAAGCGAACAATTGTTTCCAATTAGATCGTCATCAGGCTTTATTCTAATATACATGTATATTTATTATGATAATGTTAAACCAATCAAGGTAATTTAAGTCAATAGTCATAATGAAATAGAATATGTCACCATGCATAATAGGCAAAAGTAAAAGTTGATAGTAGGAAGATAGGTGTACTGATAGTATGTAAGAATAATAAAAAACAATAACAAAAGTTTTATCAATAGTTAAACATTGGAAATAGTAGATCAAACATGGGTAAATGGAACAGTCATGACAAAACATTGAAATCATTACGTAATAAGAAGTGTGCAAATAATTAGACAATGAAGAATACAAACGGATAGAGGCGGATAATTACGAACAAATAATGGTTGGATAAATAAGGTTAATGATAGCATCATCATCATCATCATCATCATCATCATAATAATAATAATAATAATAATAATAATAATAATAAAGAAAATAAAAATTAATCGTTAGTTAAGTTATAACTGGCCATGGAAGGGATAGGGGAGTTACAAATTTCTTCTGTACACATAAATTAGGGTTATATGTACGAATTCCTATGGCTTCAGCTATATGTAGGAGGCGGGAACGAACTCCGTTGGTAAATCATAGAGGTATACGATAGATCACTCGAAATGATTTCGATTTATCTACAACATGACCGCTATCAATAAGATGTGCCAGGATAGAACTGCGAATTGTTTCTATCTGACCCTTCATAAATCAAGTTGGTAAATGTTCACTCATTCGTTAGTTAAGTTGCCTGGTTGTACGCCCGATATAGCTATCTCCACAGGAGCAGCTGAATTTGTGGATACACATTGAGGAGGCCAACTCAGGTAACTTATCCTTCGTTTGAGTAGACATCGCTGGTCGACAAGAGAAAGTCAACGCAAGATTGGCTGCGTAAAATGTTCTGCTGATTACTTTCGTTAACCTATATTTCAGAGTATCACTAGCCACATCTCCGTTGAATCGTAGTTTCATGTATAAACGTTTCTTACGAATAGTCAATTTTAGTCCGAAATAATAATGGAAAGATGTAAGTAGATAACATCAAGTGAATTTAAAAGTCATTGTCTTCATGGTAAGATTGATCAATGATGTAAATCAGTATCTTGAATAAATCCACTTAATGAATTTTGTTCTGATTAGTAATTATTAGAAAATTAAAAGTATGAATAAGGTGAAATTGTAGTGTTTTACCTTTTATTTGGATGAATATAAGTAATACGTAGAAAGAATCTGAAGTAGAATGCTTACCAGCAGAAGATTGAAATAAAGAGAATATGAAAGAAAAAGACGGGGAACAATCAGAATAACAACAAGATTATAAGAATAATAAAGTATGTTGAGGATAACTCAATGAAGATATTCAAATGATGTATTTAATGTATGACTTTCATATTTTGCTAAGGCACTGAGTAATCTTGCATAAAAATAAGAAAAAGAACTGATTTTCCCCAGCAACTCTTTGTTTTGACATGAATATATGTTAATCAAAGTAATATTTATGTTAAGAATTCAGTAATATTTCAATAATTTCACGAAATACTATTCCATCATGCTTTATAATTTCTAGACGGTATGACTTAGGATGATTTATGTTCCTTTCGGGAATAAAATCAATAAAATGAGTACACCAATCAAAGGAATACCAAGTCATTTGATGAGGGTTAAAATATCTTAAGTAAACATATAATTTATTATTTTGATATTAACTTGAATGACTTTTGAGATAATCTAAGTGTTAAGTTTGAAGTCTTGCATTTAACTTCATTAATTGATGAAATGTGTTGAGTGATTTATTTAAGGGATTAATATTTTAATCAAAGAAGTGTCTTGTAGAGATTGTAATAATTTAATAATTGGATGCCGGCTCAACAGTCTAAAGATTAAGCGTTCACGCGCGAGACCGAAGGTCTTGGATTCAAATCTCGCGAGGCGGGATCGTGGATGCTCACTGCTGAGGAGTCCTATACTAGGACAAAACGGTCGTCTATTGCTTCCAGGTTTTTCATGATGGTCTAGCTTCAATTGACTCATAATTTCAACTATTGAAACTTCTAAAATCTCCACAAAACCACTCTGACTAATTTCGAATTTATAAGCATGACTCCATGACGAAAATCTTTGTTTAATCAATTCATAGTGTTTTTCAAAAATATGAATGTAATTCCAACAATATACTTGGTTTGATCAGATAATCTTTAAAAATCAGGTGGTGTTGTATTGATGATACCTATTATAGATTAGCGTCAAGCAGAGCCTACAAAATTCATGATCTAAGGAACCAACGAAGACAAGAATGGGACATTGATTTAACGTCGACGTTGGAAGAAAACCATACTACTTTAATATAAGTGAATAATAAAACTTGAATACCTGGATTTTTACATGGTTCTAATCATGGGATCTCAATATTTCAGTGTAAATCTAGCTACTCATCTTGTTTTCATTTGCTTTGTGCGATTCACAGTTTAGGGCATTTAGTACCAGTTTTCTCCTATTACAAGAAAAATCATACTTACTTATTAACGTTTGTTACTTCCAATGGAGCATAGGCCACCGACCAGCATACTCCAACACACTCTGTTCTGAGCCTTCCTTTCTAGTTCTATCCAATTGTTGTTCATTCTTCTCATGTCTGTCTCTCTGATTTTCATCTTCTTCTTTTGCCTTCAAGATTCTACCTGGTGACCTCCTGAGGCTACTGCCTCTCCCAAGTCCGGATAAAGGAGGAGGGTTGGACATGGGGTTATAGACTCCATCCCGTAGAAAACTAACTCGCCAAAAAAACGCTAACTAGAAAAAAATAATTCAAACCATTTAAGCAAAATCATAGATGTTTATTTAAATAACTGGGTAGAATATATGATAATTTAATGATAACATATAACATTGGTAACAATTAATTACATTCCAAGTTATTAGTACATTTCACTAAAATGTGTAAAACGGTTTTCCTAATTGATTTATCTAACTTTAGGTAGATAACGTTAAGTGGAATTATTATTATTATTCGAATCACAAATTGACGATTACATGTAATGGGACTCGGAAATGGTGATCATTCCATTACAATTAAAGGATCAAAAATTATTATGTTCATCTCATGATCTTAGTGTTAATAATGTTCAGTGCTTAACAGCGTAAAATTAGAAAGGTACAATATCCTGTTTTCCAATGGCTTCATGTTGGACTATAGCTTATGATGAAAAATAAGCTTCTAAATAAATCATCTTATTCAAATTAGAATCACAGTATATTGTCAGTGCATGTATACACATTACCATGGAGACATGTATCTCAAAGGCAGGTTGTCAATAACATATGACATTAATTGTAAAATTTGAATTTGAATTTCATCTATTGAATTCTTATTATCAAAGTACAGTATGATCTTGATTTTGATGCTTTATGATGTGTTGATATTTGCGGATCCTGTAGTGTGCATCCATTATCATTAGGTGTACCATTTTTCTTCTACTTTGCTCAGCTAGTCTCCATCCTAATGGGCAGTTGATTGAAGGTTTATATCTTATACTTGTTGGTAAAATATGCTGGCGAAGGCACTTATAGAGAAAATACAATTGTTCTCGAGTGAAAGCCTGCATTTTGGCGAAATTCTTTCATTTTCGAACAACGAGAAGCTTACTACGCTCATATGATTTCGAGATGGTGGAGAAGATTTGTAGCTCAGGTGGATGATTTTGATGCTCTATGACGTGTTGGTATTTGAGGATCCTGTAGTGTGCATCAAAATCATCCACCTGGGCTAAAAATTTTCTACAGTATGATCATTTGAAGTTTTAATTACTTATTTTAATTCTAACAATTGACTTTATACTATAATGTATCTTTCGTTTTAATTTAGGTATCATCATTGTGCATTTTGGCGTTTACCAGATGGTCATTCAATCATTGCATCATGTACACCATTCACAATGCAACGTTGTGGAAAAAATTTGTATGTTCTGAAAGGAATTGTTATTTTGTTTTATTTTATTTGATATCATAATAAAAAGATGGTTCCATAAGTTCAGTGACAGCATATATTATCAGGTTGCATTATACAAAATAGACATAAGTATCTCAGAAACAAGAAGTACATATGTATTGCAGTATGTTAGGAAATTACTCTTAGGACTTGAACTACTTACTTAATTATGCCTGGAAAATCTTTTACAGTTCTTTCCGGTTGTTAATTATCCTATTTATATCTGCTTTGAATTCTCGATGCAGTGTGTTCCTTAGTCTTCCTATTTTTCTCTTCCTTTGAAAATTTCATGTTGGCGCTTGCTTCACGACGCAGTTTAGTGATTTCCGTAATGTATATCCCATCCATCTTCAGTATATGTCCCCTATTCCTTCTTCATTTGAAAGCTGGTTCGTTCTCTACAATACTAGGTTGTAACTGATGGTATCCAGTTAACGGATATTGAGTATCTTGAGTAAACAATTATTTATATATACCTGTACCTTTATGATGTTAGTTGTGGTAGTTCTCCATGTTTCAGCTCCGTATAGTAGAATTGTCTTGACATTGGTATTGAAGATTCTAACTTTGATATTGGTTGTTTTGAGAGGACTTGAACTAAGCAACAGATATTTCAGAAAAGAAATAATTTTCCTATTGGACACTTCCTTAAGTCAGCTACCTCTAAATCAAAAAAATAATATTTGTATTTATTCATGCAATTCATTCATAGTGATAGATCACTACAGTCAGAATTTATCAAACTGATCTTCACTAATGATATGATGTATTATTCTATGAACTAATAGAATTAAAACACTATACTTTACTTCACTTGATATTGTTTTTATCGATATTGCCTTAATTTACAAGCAAAGATGGATAGTGGCTAGCAGTGGAATCCAGTTTGACGCTAGTTTCATCCTATTTGAGACTCGTCAGCTGGATGTACCTGCATCTCAGAGTTGATGTTGAATCTGGAACTCGAACCCAGTACCGTTCGCTTCAAACGCCATCG